CAGCCGTGTCAGTGCTCTGCATCCACTTGAAGCCTCCCGCTACCTTTCTTCCTCCTGTTTTCCTCCTTGGTGTTGGCTTGGAGTCACGCCACGGTAACTAAGGCCGGGTGAAGCGCCTGTGGGCCTGGACTGAGAGCTGGTGATTGTCACTTGTTGAGGTTGACTGGGGAGAACTGGCTCCTCCTGTGACTCCCATCCATCCTGGGCCTTTAAGGCTTTTGGCATCCTCTGTGTAGTTGCTTTGGGAGTGCAGCCTAAATACCCACTGCACCATTCAGTGGGTTCAATTTCCTGCTGTGGTGCCTGGAAGAGGAGGTTAGGCAAAGGGGGAAAACCCTGGTTTGGACCCTCTAATACATCTTTTTCTCTTACAGAAAACAGGCCTTCACCCAAGGAGCTGGAGGAGCTGGAACTGCTGAACAAGGCCTTAGAGAAGGCACTGAAAGTTAGGAAAAGCATCTTGAAAACTCCATTACAGGCCGGGGGAGCTACAGGAGAGAAGTCTGTGGGTGGGGGATCTGCTGCCAAGAATGCTGAAGAGCAGCAGGTGCCTGTATCTGGTGAGGATGTTCCTGAGAGCACAAAGGTGAGAGCTGCAAGCATAAAGCCTGCGTCTTTGAAGAAGCCCTCTCCATACCAGCTAAGAGCCCCTTATAGGACTGACCCAGATGTGAAAAAACTGCGGAGGAAACCCCCAGCCAGATGTGTTTCTCGAGGTCCCAGGACAGCTGGGAAGAGCCCCTCAAGAGAGGCAACTTGCAAACAAGGAAGGAGTCATAGGACAGCAATCGGTGCCGGTGACAGGGAGGTCTGCACTCCAGCTGAACCCCAAAAGACACCTGGCTTGTCCAGGTCTACCCTGAATGAGCAGCAAAGCTTTTCCATAGGGGATCCAGCTGGGGGAAAGAACTCTGTAACCGCTGGTGAGCGGTTCTGTGATGCAGGGAAGAAAAGTTGTGGTTTCCTGGGAGAGTCTGGCAAAAAGGAAGACCCCACAAGTGAAGGTGCATGGGGAAAGGGCACCTCGCCTCGGGCAGTCACGCTGCAGGAAAAGGGGTAAGTGCTGAGCTATGGACACATCTGTCTTGTTTTTCTTAACACTGACTTGCACATCTGCAAAGTCTCTTCTGCTGTTCTGTAGGGCCAAGCCTTTTTTCACCGCTCCTCAGATCCTTCTCAAGAGGAGTCTTCATTGTGGTTAAGTGTTTTCCTTTTAAGAGCTTGCTCTTCGATGGCTGGGACTTTGAAAGTCACTTAAGACTTGTGATATTTCATAGGCCTCTGTGACTGTTTTAGAAAACTGTCTCTGTACAGCTTTCTTGAACCATGGTTTTCCTCCAAGTGCACTTATGTTACAGCTTATTGATTTTTTTTTTTTTTTAATTTGTTTGGTTTTGGGAGGTACACAATGATAATATGTAACCCTCCCTCCCTCTCTCTGCTGTTTGGAGAGGTGGCATCTTGTAAGATGTTGTCTGTGTAACTACAAAAATGGTTATTGACCAGAATGCAGTTATTTCAAGTGTTTGGTGTAGGAAGAATTATGAAGTGGATTTCACTGAGGTTCTCTGTGGAAAGGTGGCAAAATAATACTCAAAAGATTGGCTTTGCATTCAGAGCAGTTTAAATAATTTCATACTCTTTTCTGGGTACTCTTTGCTTTAAAGAAACAGTGAAGTTCAGATCTGGTGCCTGTCTGTCCCTGGAAACTTTTGATGAAACAGTTCTCAGCTGCCACAACCGAGCTCTTGTATTTGTGCAGGGAGGAAATTATCACTGTTCCTACCGTCGTGGAGTGGACACAGGACACTGAGTGATGGTTGCTGGGGGAACAGGAATCTGGATTCAATTGTTTATTTGCTTAAAATCCCTACTATGGTCCTGAGTTCATAGTCTGCATGTGGCTAGCCATAACTGCTAACCCATGTGTTTTTGTGGTAACCAGTGAGGAATTTCTACTTTGGGGTTAAGACTCATTCCCAGCGGAAGCCGGAATGTCCCTTTCCCATTTCTTTGAGTGTGACACGGTGCGAAGCAAAGCTGCCCTGCCGTGCTTGGGTCTGGCCACGAAGTCGGGGAGATCTGCTTATTCTCCTGTCCATATTAATCACCTTCCCAGAACGTGTGGTTTCCACATCTGTGCTCTGCCTTGCTGGGGCTTTGCTCCCAGGTTCTCACCCTGGATGAACCTCTAGTGCAGGAGTTCTCCCAGGTCAGCTCAGTGATGCTTCTGGAAATGAATGAGTAGACAGATCCTCCTTCCTTGAGGACAGGCTGAAGGCAGTGGCAGATTGGATCTTCTGACATATTCCATTACAGCTAAATTAATTTCAGATTTAGACAAGACATCATTTTCTCCAAAGACAAGGCTTCACTGCTCTCCAGCAGTCAGGACTGATGCTTCTCTTGTTTTATAGGCGCCAGCTGAAGCTACCCCTTCCCTACAGGAAAGCCTATTCCATCAACTCCAGGTAAGCCCACCTTGATCAGTCCAGAGCTACCCCTGCTTAAGGGCTGCGAGGAGGGGTCATATGGATGATTGCGGGCTGGTCTGTGGGTCACCCCATGGCGTGTGGGGCCTGAACTTGGAGCAGGAGGAGCGATCCAATACAGGACCTTGTGTCTCCACGAGGTTCTTTCTGAGGATGTGTGTTTTTGTGTTATTCTAGCCACCAGCATTACTTTTGTTTTCAGAGTGCTAATCCCTGTTAATCCCCAAGTTGTAGAGGTGCTGGAATGCTTTAATCACGGGTTTAACAATGCTGCAGATGTCTCTGCTGGTAACCTGTGCTTGTTGAAGTCAGGAGTTGGGTGCAGTGAGTTTCCCAACTGGTTGCTGACCTGAACTGCTCTGCTGGGGCCCCTCTCTAGCCTGGAAGCAGCGGGGTGGTATTTGAGGCTGAAATGAACTCTGTTAAATAGAGCTAATTATGATATTACTGCACTGATAGGTGCAAGTGGTTGGGTTTCTGGTGAACTTTGTGCTGTAGTCTGTTCACCAGTCCTCTGGATGAGTTTCCTACTGTTTCCTTTGAGAAATCTTACCATAATTCAACAGATTTTTCATCATGTGGTTTGTTTAGATATTAAACTCTCTTAAATCTAGCTATGGCTCCTTGCTCTACCCTCAAAAATTTCTCCTCCTCTTGGGAACTGTCTTTATGAGACCAATTTGTTAGTTGCCCTTCAGTGAGTTGTAAAGACTTGATTCCCTTAATTTTCACTTGTGAATTGAGCCTTCCGGCATCCTAATCACTGGTGTCATTTTACATTCTTCACTATTATGTGCAAAGATTGAAAATAACCCTTGCTCTCAAGATCTCTTATAGAGGAAACGCATCTTGCCGGGTAACTTCCGTTCTGTTCCTTGACCTTGCTGGTTCTTTGCATAATGTGTTTCTGAAAACTGCAGCTTCTGTCATGATTTAAAAGATCCATTTAGATGGAGAGAAGACACACGCACGCTCGGGTTAGACAGTCATGCACTGCATAACTATTTTAAGCTTCCTCCTGATGACTCTCCCTTATTGCAGCAGATTTTGGGAGGCTGGCTGAAATTTGCTGGCATTTGAAAGCCCTCCTTTACTTAAAGGTGACCGTGCATCGGGGGGGGATGTTCAACTCTTAGGTGAACTGCACCTCTCTGAGAGCGCTGTTATTTATGTAACGCTTTAAAAACTGGACCCTTACACGAGGTCATGGTCAGCTTACTCATGATTCTGTCCTCAAACCTCGTTTTGTGTCTCTGATGCCGATGCACTGCTTCTTGCCAAACACTGCTTTGTCCAAGAAAAGAGAAAAAGGATAAAAGGAGAGTCTTGAGGAAATTTGGCATGTGAAGGCATTACTATGGTAAAAACTAGGGCCTGAGTTTGTCCTGTCTGCTATTGTACAGATTTACTAAGAGACTAAGCATAAAGAAATGCAAATGACTTACACCTCAAGAAGGGGGATTTGTTCTTTCCCATGGGATAAAAACACAGGTAGTGCGATACCACAGAATTAGTGATGTGCTGCAAGCTCACATTCTGCTTATAGAAATGGGTTGTCTCGCTTCTGATGGCTTTAAATCCTTCCCCTTAAAGCAAGTTGAGGAAATAGCGTAGGTGTTTTGCAGTGTCTAATGCTTTCTGCAGGGTGTCCTTGCTGACCTAATATAAACTGTCTAGAAATGAGGAGGGGGTGCCTAGTAAGGAACCTGTAAAAGAGAAGGATGAGGGAGATGCTTGTATTTGAAGTGCTGATGCGTCATATTGGTGTGTCACAGCTCAGTGTGAGCACTTTCTGATACAGTAGGGCATAGCTCCTCCACCTCCTGCGCCTTTTGAATTTTCAGGGCATGGGAGAGATGTCGTCTCTGCCAAACAAGTGCAGATGCAGCAGCTGCAAGGAACCGTTTTATAGAGAGGATCCAGGCAACCGTATCCTTTCTCAGCTCACCATCCCCTTCCCCAAGCAGGCACCGGGTGCAGTCGCTCTGCAGCGTGCTCCCATGTGGAGACAGTTACACCTTCAATAGCAGGAGTTCAAGCTGGATCTCTAGGAAGTTTTTTTGTTTTTTGTTTTCCGAGTGTCGCTCTTGAGCGGTTGTAAAACTTTAGATCCAGACAAACAAGGCCACAGGGCAAACATGCCGTACATAGCTGCGCTGCCATCGCCTTCCCCTTGCAATGCTGCCCCATGGGCTGCTTGTCCTCGGCCCCTGATCACAGCTAGCCCAGGGGTAGAACCGTAGAATAGAATCATTAAGGTTGGCAAAGGCCTCTAAGATCATCTAGTCCAACTGTAGCACACAGAGCTGGTGCTGTGAAACCTTCCTTAAGCTGCTGCTGTTTTGAGTTTCGTCCACCGATGCCGACCTTCAGTCCCGAAGAGATTGAGGAGGAATTCAAGGTCCTCCAGGATGTCCCCTCCCTTCTGAGCCAGTATGTGGAAGCTGAGCCTGCAGGTAAGGAGGCTAAAAAGGGGGATGAAGGGGAAAAGAAGTGGAATAAGGATGATTTCAGTGAACTCCAGTCCTATGTACCTTGTGTTCTTGGCATATCCTGAGCAGGAGCATTCTCTGCCTAAAATGATGGCTAGTGGACCCAAGACCCCTCTAGAAACTGGTATTTGTGGGGAAGGTTTCAGTATGCTCGATCCTGCTAGTTTTCCTCTGCTTCTCTTCTAGACCACCCTACTCTGCAAAGAGAGTATGAAAGCCTCCTAACCTTGGAGGGTTTGCAAGCCGTGGTTTCCCAGTGCTTGCATAAGCTGCAGCTTCTGCGAGGAGGTGAGCCAGTCGCTGGTTTTGTCACCAGGTGTGAATGTGAGCAGCTTTGCTTGAACAGTAGTTTGCTATCTGTGTGCAGAACGCTATGGACCAATGTCATTTTTCTCCTGGTTATCCTTAATGGTGACATAGTAGGTAAAATTCTCAGGTGGCGAACAAAACTGTGGTATGTGTTTGCCACCAGTCTGTGTTCAGAAGAGGCTTAGGATGTTTAACTGCTGCAGTTCGGGAGGGCTGGTGAGGGAGCTGTTGGGAGATGGAGGAGACTGCGTGCTTTAACTTAAGATATCATGATTGTGCCACACTCAAGGAACTTACCCTGACTAACACAATGCCATTAGTCACTCATTTCTAGGAACAGTAAGAAATCACGAGTTCTGCAAGTGAAGATTTAACTTGGCTGTTCCTGTCCCTTGCCAATTCTCCCCCTTCAGCAGCTGTGGAGTCCCAGATGAGGCTGCGCCCAGACTGCACCGGGGCTGGAGGAAGCTGCTCTCCAGCCTGTGTTCCTCCCAGGCGACAGGTGTGTGACAGTGCAGGCATGCTGGCCGTCCCTCTCCTTTGTTACTCCAGCCTGCAGGAGCTGAGGGACCTGTTTGCCCTGAAGCTGCAAGTGTCAATGCTGCGCCAAAAAATTGCCTTACAGAAGGTGAGTCTTTCAAAGCGCTAGCACTCCTGGAGTAGAGCAAGAAGAGGGCAATTGTGGGATGACAGCCAGTGTACAGGGTCTTGATGGGGAAGCAGCAGCACAGCAAATTCTCCCTGTGGTGTTTCTGTGTTTATGCCTTGTGTCCACGTCCTGTCAGTGTCTTCTACTTTGTAGGTGAACAGCCTTTTTTTGTTGAGGCTAGAGCAGAGACCTCTAAATGCCTGACCATCTCCTGATCAGAATTTTTTCTTCTAACTACTCTGAGTGAGTTTGGCAGTGGAGGATGTTGTTGGTCATGCCTGGAGACACCTTTTGACAGCCCTTGACAGTCCTGTTAGGGCACCACTCTGTCATTTTCTCCTGCTAATGAGCTCCTCTGCTGTCTGTCCCTTTGCTTTTAAATCTCAAACCATTGTGCTGCTGATCTTGACTTTAGTGTTCTGAGACTGCCTGGTCAGTCTCTCCATCAACCTAAGCGGAGTTCTTGCTGCGCAGAGATCATTTGCTTTTCTCAACCAACAGCAGCAAAGGGCAGGGAAGGTCTGTGACATCACATCTCCTTTGAGCTGACCTTTGCTATTGACCTGAATGGTAGAGGCTTTGGAAAAGCGATTTTTTTTTTTTTTGTAAGCCGGGGAAGAGTTATTCATAACTGGCAGCACTCCTTCCTCTGGCTGAAGATAGATTGCTGCCTGTCTTCAAATGGGACTTTAGTGCTATAATCCTGAATTGTGAGTTGTAAGGGTTTTGATTTTTTTTTTTTTTTTTTTTTTATCTGCCCAAAATGAAGTAGTGACCAAAGCCTGCTGCTTTGTTGAGTGACTCAATTTTCCCTGTATGTGTATAGAAATAGGTGCTTAGCACAGGGTGAGTATCTGAAGCCTCTCTGTGCAGAGTGTGCAAGATAAGGGAAATTCTTGGGACAGGTGAAGCAAATGGACTTGGTACAAGATAAATACCTTGGGAAAGGATGCGCTTATTTCTGGGCCAAGCCTGTCCATCGCCTTTCTGTGAAGGAATGGCAAGAACCATAGAATGTCCTGGTAGATATTAACCTGTCTTTGACGTCGAAGGCCCGTTTCGTCTGTTCTTACACACTGGGAGCAGGCCAGACAGATGGAAGAGAAGGGGCTTTCTCTTAGGGAGTGGAGCAGTGTAGCACTCCTTCATGTGCCAGCTCTTCCCTTAGGTAGCTTTCCTGTCTGCAGCTCTTGGCTCTTCCTAGAAATTGGTGACAATGTCCTGTTTCCCTGTGCAGAGATTTATGGAGCGCAGGAAAGGGATCCCCCTCAGATGCTCCTTGCTCTCTTCTATTTGGGTCTTTCTTTGTTTCCACCACTGAAAAATGCTTTGAGGGAGGTGACTGATACATGCAGTTCATTGGCAAGGCAATGTGGATTTTTAATGTGCAGGCTGCTCAGACTTCATTAGCTGATGCCAGCTGAAAGAAAAAAAAAAACAAGCAGCAACTAATGTCTTTCAGAGCATTAATTCAAGAGTGGGACGCTAAAGACTGACTTTTGTCCTTTGGTTGGAAGTTCACCCATGTCTGAACTGTCAGTCACTGTCAGAATCCCAGAGCTTTTTGCCCTTATTGATGCTGTGACAGGCCAGTGGACTGTTGGAGAGTGTGGACTGGGATCGAGGAGTGAGCAAGGCTCAGGAAACTAGAAGCCAGGCTGGGGAATGTTGGACAGCTTTGTGAGCCGCTATAGTGTGTGCTGCTTCGCTCTGTTTGGGCTGGAGCTGGTCACTTGCCCATCTGTTTTGGATTAACGTGGCCCAGCTGGGGCATGATGGCAGTTGAAGGGTTGATCTTACCCGTGGGTGAGGAAGCCACTGGTTGCAGAGCTCCTGCCACCTTCTTGCAGGATGCTGATTGCACCCCAGCCCTGGGCCATCTTCCAGCACTGCTCTTTATCTCGGCTCTGGGAACTCTGGGTGGCTGCTGGTGCGCTTCATGAGCAGTGGGAGATCAGCTCTGCCTTTGTCAAATGTGACAAAAGAAAGTTACCTGTCTAACAATTAGCATGTTGTTATTAGTCATACTGCTCTGGTTCGATTTCACTCATTATGCAGCCACTTCACTTCATGGAATCCTAAAAATGCACGCTGGCCCTGATGACATGTCTCCTTTGCTCCCACCTAGGTCACAATGGCAGAAATCCTGCCTGTCCTGGAGTCCCGGCTCTACCCAGAGGCCTCTGCGGCTCAGCTGTATCGAGCGGTTTACACGCAGCTCTGTGAAGGAGGCGAGCGATTCCCTGTGCTGGTGAGAGATGAGCTGGCAGATTGAGCTGGTGCAAACCTCCTGCTAGCCATTTGCATAACCAGAGACAGTTTTAAGCAATAAATCTTTCCTATTGACTTTTTGTTTTACTCTGCCTGTTTGTCCAACTACATCTCAGGTTGTGGGGTTTTTTGTTTGGTTGTGGTTTTTTTTTTTCCTTTTTCCAACTAGGTATCAGGCTGTGGTTTTGTTTTGGTTTGGTTTTTTCTCTTTTATTATTTTTTTGACTAGCTAACTGAGGTTTTGTGAAGCCCCTTCAGGACTTAATGGACACTGCTTTTGGCTTTTCTTCCAGGGTCTGCCTGTCTGTCTAGCTCTAGATTTTTTTTTTTAACCACTTCAGTCATGACACCAGTTTTCTATGCACAGATATTATAGCTAGCAATAAAACTTCACTTATATCAGATAGTCACAGCGTGGAGGGGCACAGCTTTCCAGCATCCCAAAATCCAGGGAACCTGTACTGCTGCTTCCTTGTTGCTCTGTTCACCCGTTGGCATATAACCAGCGTTACAGTGGTCGCTGCCTAATATCCACTAACTGGTTCTGAGGTCTTCATCCACAGCGGCCCACACTCACTTCTCGCCAGCCTGTCGGTCACAATATTTTTGCTCCATCATCTGCTCTGTGTGCGTTTGTGCCGAGGCAGCAGTCCGAGAAGGGCTGGGCTGCCTGCGCTTGAGCAATCTCAGGGAATGCCGGTGCTGCGGCGGGCGGGA